CCTTTTACAGCTGTTAAAGAATGACATATAAAAATATTATTCTTGACTACGGTATAAATGGTTCTGGCATTTTCAGGCAATAATAATGATCCATCAGGATCAATTTTACAAGTACATACCATGGAGCATATACACAGCATACTATGCTACTTTTTAAATTCAGATTAATCATTTTTCATGATAGAAGTTTTGGTCAATATTTATATTTTAATTATATGAACCTTAGCATTGCCTGGATGAATTTCTGTCCAGGGGAAAAGATTTAGAACAGGGAAAGACTAAGGAATCTTAAGATTTGGAACCACCAGGGCTTAACACTGAGATATCAGTAGAATCATCTTCCACTATCCTCATCTCTCCAATCCTGGAGAAGTTATAGTCCAAGGTTACCAAGCTGGAACAGTAAAGGAAGGTTTTCCCAATTTGGGCGAACCTTGACACTACTGCATACCGAGCTAAAGGGTAGAAACAAAGAAATGCTTAACTGCTTGAAAGAATGCCTTTGGATCAAGGTACTATAGGATGTAACTCCTGAAGAGTCCAATATTTGAATTAGCAGCAATTAAGCCTTTGTCTGGAGGTGGTCAAATCCTGAAACAATTTTGTTCCTTGATTCCAAACCTTACTTAATTTTATTTCAAACTCTGGACTCTTCTCTGGGCCTAACCAGTTTGTGTATTTCACTTTGTTGAACGGACTCTTTGCTGTTGTCTGCTTTTACATATTCTCAGCTGATTTTTGATCTGGGTTGTTGGTTCATGTCTCTTGCCTTACTATGTGGACTCGGGCTAGGATATAATGTAAGAGATTGCAATTTGCTGGCTGCTAAAGGACTTAAGATATTTGTGGCCATTTTGAAAGGAGATTGGATGAAGAGAAGTATGCTTGTTGTTATGTTTTGTCAAGTTATAGTAAATTTGTGGTGACTCTGTGGATATAAGTTGTTCAAGTTCTCCTGTCTCTTGCTGCATTACACAATTCTTGCAACTATCAGCTTCTTAGTTTCTTCTACCTTTTTCAATATTATATTTTTCACAGATATATCAGCCTGAATGATGTGTCAAAATATGACAGTTTTTGTTTCATTATCTTTGCTTCCAATGAGTGCTAAGTCTTGATTTCTCATAATACATAATCCCTTCTATTTAAATACGGTTGGAAGTAAAGAATAACTAGTAAGTATTGATATATAACAAGCACTACATTATTGGATATAGCCTCTGGATAGCAGATTAGGCTCATAACAAGTCAGCAAGGAGCAATATATAGAGCATTGCTGGGAAATCCATCCAGCACAATCATAAGCAATGTGTATGCAAAACACAATAATGTAGGTAGTTCTAGCACTACTTTTGTATAATATGTCTTTAAACAATCCCTTTTCAGGCATACACATTAGAAGCATTAGGCTGAAGTCAGTCATCTATCATCCCCATGGAATATATAGCACTGTAATGTTGAAGTGATATTTAGACTTTCCACATAGTTTGTTTCCTAAGACATAGTTTTAGACTTCATCCTATGAACACAATAAATGTTACTCTAACACTAGTTCCAATTTTTTTTCTTCTAGTTGATGGGAAACTGAAATCTTACAAAATTATAATCATCATAAACATGCTTCCATTCATATGGAGAAGAATTATTTATTAGCAAACATTAACATTGCTTACATAATAAATCTTCTTTGTTGAGAAAAAAATGTTCTCTTTTCTTAATATCACAGCATACCTAGAATTATTTAAACATCAGTGATCCATCTACTTTTTAGGGTTTCCTTGCATATACTAACATTTAGTTGACAAATTTAGATACAGCTCATTAGCACTATCTGTACTGTTTAAACATATTTTACAATCAAGGATCATGTTGAATTGTGAACTTTAAATGCCTTCAAGTGTTTATAAAGTTAATTAAGGACAGATGCAAGATCCAAAATGTAAGAAGCTTCAGCAATTCTGGGAATATATCAACACATTTTTCCTCTTCTGTAACTCATGGAACAATAACCTTCTAGGTTTTGCTAAGAACTATGAGAAAATAATTCTGTTTCACAACTTTCAAAGGGTTGCTTTTAAACCTCTCCATCACAAACCGTCATAGTTATATGTAATTTTAATAAATACATAGTTGGTAAGAAAAACAAATAATTTTTATTTTAAATAAATGTTATATAAGAATTCTTTAACCCCTATACCCGGACGGAATAATCTCCGGTACATTTTAAAACGACGAATATAGTTATATTTATTTGTATACACAAAATAATAAACCGTTATTGATGTTATTGGTAGCAGCCTATATTGTCTTTTCAATGGAAAAAGTGTAATTTGCTCCTTTACAAAAAGGAAGCAAATAAAACAATGCTAGAAAATCTTTTGCAAACATATAGAACAGTTTGTTCAGTATATCTTATTCCTGCATTATGATCATGTCCGTTTCAAAGTTACATAAGCTTTAAAAGGTCAAGTACCTCTATATGATAATTTTTTCCATCGTAAAAGTCTGAGGAGCATTGCATTGGTATTCAGGACTATTTTATTTATTTTATTATTTTATTTATTTGGCTTCTATGCATCTGTGTCTTGCAGTTTGCAAAGTAAAAAGCAAAATACAATTGGTACCGATAGATAGATAGATAGATAGATAGATAGATAGATAGATAGATAGATAGATAGATAGATAGATAGATAGATAGATAGATAGATAGATAGATAACCTTTATTGTGCGCACAATGGCACACATTAAAAATGAAATTCAGTTGCTTGCTCTCAAAGTGCACACATACATAACACGCATACTATATAAAACATACGTATAGACCTACACCGTTACATATAAGTAACATATAAATATTAATCACTGTCCACAATTGGCTACATCTGTGTTAATATAATTAGTGTTTAAATCCAAACCAGTGAAGATGATGCTTGCTTTGTGTTATAGAGAGACTCCTTTCCATTTTTTCCCAGCACTGTAGCTGTTTAAAAGACATTTTAATACTAGAAAGGGAAAGTGCATTTGAACTGCTTAAACAAGTATACTGAGAGCAAAGGTTGCATGATATGTCCGAAAATTATAGGTAAGTAGAACTCTCTAAAATGTATTTCCAGATGGTTGGTTTTGGTTTGAAAGATGGAGACAATTATTCAATATGAACATGAAGAATTATCGTATTAATTATCTTTAATTTTAAAAAAGTTTAATTTAAGAGAGAAAGAGAAAGACAGAGAGACTTTGGTTTCACTCACTAGCTCTTATGTGCTACTAAAAAGCCAACTCAGCTCCCAATCTGAAAAAAGTCAGATATTCCTGATAGCCATTATAGCAATAGGTGTTCATCACTAATTGCTATATTGAATGTGTAGACATTTTAGTTTAAAACCGTACTATCTAATACCACAATAACCAAACTTCTTGACTGGTGGTTATTTACTTATAACGATTTATTAAGAAGGTTTCAATCGATTGTTCATAGTTATAATCTTATTTATTATAACAATAGAGTGGTATAAGTCACTTGCTCTGTAATAAAGACTTTGTTTCATTAGACCACCACATTTATAGCTATTGGTAATAGGAAAATATAAAGTCTGTCCTCTTAGTTGCTCAATTCTGACAACTATTTTATGAATTGGGTGGTCTATCAAAATCTGTTTTGAACTCAACTGCATAACACACATCGTTATAGCAAAGTATAGCATGTGAAACAGAGCATACCACTATCTGTCTAACCTGATATTCATATTCACTAAATAGTAATTAAAGCCTTTTTTATCTGATGACTGTAAAGGAGGAGGTATTCTGCAGGAGACAAGCTCTGAAATGGTGGACTGCTTCCTTCATGCCAGTAGCTGCACAAATCTTGATGACTCTTGTTCACAGCAGGCATTATGTTTTAATTTCCTTAAGCCACAGGATCCAAGCTTGAATTCACATTGTGTCTGGACTTATGTATTCAGTATGGATAAAGAGGCAGACTTTTATATCTATTATTTTGAAGTAGAACTGGTACAAATGTTCAAATTCTTTAAGCTAAGATCATTGTTGTTATTTGGGTATTAGTTCCTTCATCTTAGCAATCTTTTCTAGACCACCTAGTCAAAGCAGCATTTTGTCTGTCTCATAGTCAAATGGTTTCGCTTGAATTCAATTTATAATGCGGTGTAATCTTCTTGTTACATGCAATGCGTGTTTTGGCATTGTTTTAATCTCAGAATCAATTCAGGCTTTACAGATCAGCCTAAGTCAGAAAGCTCCTCGTTATATGCTGTACTGTTCAAGGAAAACAGCATGATAAACAACTCTGACCAACTATAAATTGATTTATTTTCTTCTGGATAAAGTATTCAGAAACAAACAAGCACTTTCATATTTATATAAAGAATCATTTACTTCTGTAACTAAATAATTTAGAAAACAAAGGTTTTGCCTAAAGGTCAGTGCCAAGAAAAGCTTCAAATTTTAAAGAAGCATAAAAATATTGTGTGGGACACAAATAGGGCTGTTCAAAGAGAAGGCTATTTTTCTTCAGATCTATAATACCATATAATGTGAGACTGTGCCCTAATTCATACATTCCTCAGCAATAGATAATGAAATATTGTAATAGTGGAAAGCATAAGTTCTTCCTACTTCCTCACATTACCTCTTACAAATATTTTACCTTTACACAAAATGTCACATTGCACAGGATACAAATATTTCACAGGGCTTTCCTATGGAAGGGTTCGCTCACTGAAGCTATATGTACATGTATGTGTGTTTTCATTATTCCATCACCATCAAGTTATTTCAGCACTTGACACTGGTGAATATATGAACCATAGGACCATAGGATTCTTTCCTAGGTAACATAATAGCTTGTGAAAGACACTAAAGGAATAGAGTCACCTTATACATTATAAACTGATAACAGACACTCTGAAGGTGATCTATTTAGTTAAACAATCTTCTTTAAAAATGCAAAGGATCCAATGAACTAAAGTTATGTACCTACCTATTTTTAAGTCTTGATTGAGGCGAGAATATTTTGAACGCTCAAGAGAAGGTAGACACTGCTCAAGGGATATCCAAGTATACGTCTCTGGACATAGTAAATCAGAAGGTCTATACTGTCCCTGCAAAATCAAGAAAATATAGCATGCCATTTATCAAATTCAAATATCTCTTTGTCCAAGATGTCTCCTGCGTAATATAGATATGAAAACTTAATAAAATAATCCTGCTACAGTATGTAGACAAATGTAAATTTCTCTAAGCATGTAGCTTTTCTGCTGGGATGTCCAACTTTGGCCAATCTAAAAAAAAATTCTTGGTTTGTGCTTGGATATGAAAACACAAGGAATCCCCTGGGAAATTTGACTGGGGAGCTGAGAAGACAATTTAGAAGAATGCAATGTACATTGGAAAGAAGACAAAATGGGCATATCTATATGCCTATTAGAGGGTCTCTTTATCTTTTACTGCATCTCATTTTTTTAAAAAAAAAATGATATTGCAAAGGTAAAAGTAATTACAATTATCTTAATTTGGCTGGCTGCTGCTGTAGCAAAAATATACTGCAGATTAAGAACAATTTGTCTGACAGTTTATTGTTTTGAGAAGATAAAACAGAATGAACCCAATACTAAATAAAATACACATTGAGCTGTCACCTTGAAGCTACAAGTCCCAGAATTTTTGCCAGTTTCTGAGAATTCTAGCATTTGCAACCCCAACCCAACTAGAGGGTATCAAGTTGGGGAAAGCAAATTTGGGGAATGAACTCTCAAATCTGCTCTTTCACTTCATCTGTCTTAACCAAATGGAAACTAGTTCTAGCTGAAAGGCTAAAAAACCAACCAACCAACAAACAAAAAATCAGGATATTTATATAAAATGAAAATAGTGATCATTTATATCAACATTACTTCAACCATAGTCATTTACAAGATGTGTAAACATAATGAAGTTAATATGATGGGCACTGCTTTGGATTTAAAGGCAAAAGGCTGTTTAAGAGTGCACAAAGGTCCAGATTTAGCACCTGTAAGGAATTTATTAAATCAAATGCTTTGAGGATGATGTTGCAATAATGGAGGACAACCATGTCTAGGAAAAGTGGCAGCTTCTTTGAAAGGAGTTGCTGAGAAATGCTACATCTGGACTACTATTTATTCCAAAACCACGCTGTCTCTTCAAAACTAAAGCCCAAACCTCCCTAGAAACAAAATAGCATCCTCACCGATATATAATCCATCAATGAAAGTAAATCTTAAAGCAGTTCTGTAAAATTAAATGTTTCCCGACACATCTGTTTCATCACAGATATTGCCTCTTTAATCAAAATGAAGTAGCAGCTTTTCTGATTAACATATTTTATTAAAAGCATTTATTAAAAGCATTAAAAGAGTTAATTGATACAGAACATCCCTGTCCCCGGCAATCTAAAAACTATAGGGCTATCAGTGCATGTAACATAGATGTGTGTGTGGACAAGAATATCAACCTTGCTGTCAAGCAAAATCAAGCTTTTAATAGTGAGTGCCACACAAAGTGCACTAACCAAATAGATGGTAAGACAATAGGTGAACTCAGGCACCACACAGGTTATGTAGAAAGTAAACACACAGGGTCAGTCATAAAGGACTCAAATGTCTATACACCAATGCACAGAATATGAACAGCAAACAGGGTGAACTAGAAATTCAGGTTAATGAGGGCAGATATGATATTGTTGTCATTACGGAAACATGGTGGGATAAAACTCACAAATGGAACACACAGCTAGAGGGATTTAAATTATTTAAAAGAAACAGATCAAATAAAAGAGGAGGTGGAGTTGGCTCTACATATAAGACATAACTACATCTCGGGACTTCCGGTTCCTGTACGCGGCAACGCCGGTCGCGTCTGGGGACTCGTCTCCAGTCCGGCCGGGTTTTCTGTGTCGGTAGACCCCCTGGTGGGTCGAAAGTCGCCCTGGAGGGGCGACCACCGAGAAGGAGGCTTGCTGGTGACTGCGGGAGAGCGGCAGAGGCTTGCTGGTGACTTCTCCCGCGGCCCCAGCTATTTCCTTAGGGCCGCGGGATGGCTGATTATCCTGCTGCACCAGCAGAAGTCACAATTACAGCTAAGCCATACTAGACCCACCGCGGAGGATCCGGGTGAGACCCTTTTTGCCCCTTTCCCCCACGTTTATTTTTTTTTGCCTGAAAAAACTTGGTTGGAATTATTTCCCAGTTTGGAAAAAGCAGCTGCTGTATGTGTGGGAAGGAAGGCTTTGAGAATAAAAAAATATTTTTAAAGACTACACTCTATTTTCAGTCATTTTGGGATACAGGAAAAATGTTTTTGCGAATTGTATAAGTAACTAATATTGGAAGATTATTTCTTTCCCCACTTCTTCCTTTAAAAGATAGGAAAAAAAGGAAAAAAAATGGTGTCTGGAAAAGATTTTCTATTTACTGAGGACATCTAGTGGTGAAAAGTTAATATTGTAACCATTCTTTGGAGAGAAGGATTTGACCTTCAGATAAGCTGGTGCAGCTGTGGGAACTGAGGGGGTGGACACTGGTTAATTACAGCCCTTATTAAAAAATAAATAAATAATAAAGAAAGGATTTTCTCTGATTACTTCTAAAATGGAGAAACTCCACTCTCACTTAAATTGCAAGCTGATATTGGAAAAGATCTATGAGGTTTCTGAAGAAATATGTGCTAAAAGGAAAGGGATTAAGAAATAACTACATCTCTACAGAAATAGAATACAACAATGATGAAAACTGTCTTGAATGCATTTGGGTCAATATAAAAGGGAGAAAAAAATGACATTGCCATAGGTGTATACTATAGGCCACCCAACCAAACAGAGGAAATAGATGAACTTTTTGTTAGTCAGCTAACTAAGGTATGTAGGAAGCACATCACAATAGTAATGGGGGACTTTAACTACCCTGACATCAACTGGGAGACAAACTCTGCACCAAGTGGAAGATCAAACAGATTCCTGACAAACCTAGCAGACAACTTTGTCTCCCAAAAAGTAGAGAAGGGAACTAGGAGATTAGCCATTTTGGATCTAATTCTCACTAACAGAGATGAAATGATAGAAGGTGTTGAAGCCACAGGAACCTTGGGAGGTAGTGATCATGCAATATTGGAATTCAACATTATGGAAGCACAAGCAATAGAACACAGTCAAACTAGAGTCTTGGACTTCAAGAGACCTAATTTCAATAAACTTACAGAGGGCTTGGGAAGGATTCAATGGATGAGAATCCTCAAGGGGAAAAACTCTCTGATAAATTGAAAAATAAAAAGGACAAGTATAAAAACTGGAAATAGGGGCACATAACTAAGTCAGAATATCAGCAAATAGCCCAAGCCTACAAAGATGAAGTGAGGAAAGCTAAGGCTCATAATGAACTAAGGCTTGCGACCAAAGTCAAAAATAACAAAAAAGAGATTCTTTCAACATGTAAAAAACAAGAAAAAAGTGAAGGAAATGATTGATCCATTAGAGGGTGAAAATGGCAAAAAGGTGACAAGCAATAGGGAGAAAGAACTATTTAATTTGTTTTTTGCATCTGTCTTTACACAAAGGGAAAAAAAAGACCAACCTATCAAAAATACTGCCATAAAAAACAGAATAGAAACACAAGTTAAGATAGGCAAGAAAATGGTAAGTGAGCACCTGTCCAGCCTAGACGAGTTCAAATCACCAGAACCAGATGGATTACATCCCAAGGTTCTCAAGGAACTGGCAGATGTGATTTCAGAACCACTGAACTATATTTTTCAAAGATCCTGGAGCACTGGAGAACTACCAGAGGATCTGGACAGACTTGAACACTGGGCGCTATCTAACAAAATGAAATTCAATGGTGAAAAAAGTAAGGTTCTATATTTAGGCTAGAAAAACCAAATGTATCGGTATAGTATAGGGGGTACGTTGCTCAATAGTAGTAACTGTGAGAGGGATCTCAGAGTCCTAGTGGACAATCATTTAAATATGAGCCAGCAGTGTGCTGCAGCTGCCAAAAAAGTCAACACAGTGCTAGGCTGCATTAACAGAGGGATAGAATCAAGATCACATGAAGTATTAATACCACTTTACAATGCCTTGGTAAGGCCACACTTGGAACACTGCATCCAATTTTGGTCACCATGATGTAAAAAAGATGTTGAGACTGTAGAAAGAGTACAGAGAAGAGCAACAAAGATGATTAGGGGACTGGAGGCTAAAGCATATAAGGAACGGCTGCTGGAATTGGGTATGTCTAGTTTAATGAAGAGAAGGACGAGGGGGGACATGATAGCAGTGTTCCAATATCTCAGGGGCTGCCCCAAAGAAGAGGGAGTCAAACTATTTTCCAAAGCGCCTGAAGGCAGGCCAAGAAGCAACGGATGAAGAGAGAGAAGCAACCTAGAACCGAGGAGAAATTTCATGACAGAACAATTAACCAGTGGAATAACCTGCCTCCAGAAATTGTGAATGCTCCAACACTGGAACTTTTTAAGAAGAGACTAGAGAGCCATTTGTCCAAAATGGTATAGGGTTTCCTGCCTGAGCAGGGGGTTGGACTAGATGACCTCCAAGGTCCCTTCCAACTGTATTATTATTGTTGTTGTTGTTGTTGTTGTTGTTGTTATTATTATTATTATTATTATTATTATTATTATTATTATTATTATTATTATTATTATTATTATTATTATTATTATTATTATTATTATTATTATTATTATTATCTCCATGAACTGCATGAAGCAAGGTGAAGCCAGTGGTGGGATTCATCCGGTTCGCACCACTTTGGCAGAACCGGTAGCTAATTTTTTTGTTGCCCAGGCGCAGAATGGACTTCCGGAAGCAGCATCCACACAGAGAACTGGTTGTTCATGTATTTGAATCCCACCACAGTCATGAAACTGGCACCTTTTAATAAAATTTGCTCATGAAAGCTTGTACCTTTTAATAAAATTTGCTCATGAAAGCTTATACCTTTTAATAAAATTTGCTCATGAAAGCTTATACCTTTTAATAAAATTTGTTAGCTGAAAAAGAAGCTCCTCCTGATTTTTTTTCTACCATAGACCAACATGGCTCTCTTTCTATAATGCAATCTCAATGTTAAAC